TTCTTTACCCTTTTACCTTGTACCATGGGACACCATGCCCCTGCTCTCACTCATTTCCCAGATCTCTCTGAGCAGGGGAGATCTGCTGGGCCCACTCCAAACTGTAGGCTTCTTTGGAGAACTTTCTCAAAGATTTTCATAGCCTCTAGTTTTCCCCTTTAATGGTGCAGAGTCCCTCTTAGAGGAAGTTCCACCCAATGCTACTATCAGATGCCTGCTCACTAGCCCAAACCAATAAGCTGGGAGGCAGATAACTAGTCACAGCATAGGCAGGTTGAACCAACTCCTTTGCTGGGTGCTGCACTTCCCTGTCAGCAGTTCACACCTGTTCTTGTTAGGATGTTTTTCCTTCAGCTAGTAAGTGCTTTGCATGTTTGCTTTTTAAGACGGACATTACCATACCTTTCTTACATTATCCCTGCCTTCCTGATGAGTGATTTGGAATGTCTTCTTACTGGGTGTGGAGGATGTTAAGCAACAGAGTTCTCTCAGCCTCTAAGGAAATTTGATTTTGATTTTTAACTACAGATAGTTCATCTTCAGTTTATTTTTATACTGATTATATTCAGTTTCTGGTTAAATATTATATTGGTGGCATTTGTGAGATTGTCCTTGTTTTTTCTATATAAACTTGACTTTGTTCCAAATAAGACCTATCTAGATAGTGAAATATATAATCGTACTGTTCCATACTTAACACGGAAGCAGATTTTTCTCTTCTCTTTTTCAATTTTTCCTGTTTTCCTATTTTTTCCCCATATAGCACCTTGAATCTGTTACTTTTAAATGATGAATGAATGAATACTTTTACATGGATACATTGAGTGAATACTTTTACATGATGTCTTTGCTCAAAATGGCAGAATGTAAGTGGTGTTAATCATATGAACAGACAAAATAATTTATTTGCCAAGCAAGAGTGTTGCTCCGACATGGTTACAAGAGACATCTCTCTGATCAAAGGCACAGGGAATTGAAACACAATTGGCTCAGAGAAGTCAGTACTTCCTTTTCCCACTGACAGCAATAGCAGTACCAAATTTTAGTGCACAAATCTATTAACTGTAAATTGTAAAAGGAACCACAAGATAAGGAGGGGAGGTACCTAATTCCAGAGGGGTGAACTGACAGCACCCGCATAATACTGAATGTCTCTGCCCCAAATAAGGGAGCATCTCCCTTTGCAGAAAGAAATATTTGTTTTCTGCACCTATTTTGTGTTTTCATGTATGGTTGGAGAGTTCAATGCCACTAAATCTGGACAGAATCTGCTAAAGAATATCCTTTGAGAAGGAGGAAATTCCAATGCTTAGGATGCTAGCTTGGGACTTTGGACAACTGGGTTCAATAACCCACCCCTCCACAGACTTCCTGTGTGACCTCGGTCAAGGCCCTCTGTGCCTCAGTTCCCCATCAGTACAATGGGGATAACAGCACTTCCCTACCTCACAGGGAGGATAAATACACTGAAAACTGTGAGCTGTACAGTTACAACTGTAATGGGGTCCTATCAGGGGCCAAGACTGTCCACGCACACCTTCTGTTGGCCCAGGCATAGACCCATTGCCCCCAATTGGGGTTATGCCCTTTGCTTGTTTCTTAATAATTACTTCACAGGCTGCTTTCTCCATTCAACCAATTCTGTGTTTGGGTATTTATTTATTTTATCAACACCATTCCACTGCACCATGATCTTCAGGCCTTTGATCATCTTTTCCTGGGTGCACATCTCAGTCCCTCCCTCTCCTCTCCCAGTCTGCCCAAATTAATGTCCTCCCCTTCTGGGATAATTATGGTCATTTAAAGTTCAGATAACTGCTCTGTCTGGGCCCACCTTCTTTTCTGAAGGGATTTTAGGTAATTGTCAATGTTCTTTACTGGCCATTTCTTGGGGCTCACAACTGGTTTGAGCTCCTGTCTCTGCCCAGGCCGCCTTTTCCCAGAAAGGTTTTGCACTGCAATGCTGCATGGAAGTCCTTCTGCAATGCTGCATGAAAGCCCTTCTCCAACTTCCCTTCCCATCCTACTCTGAGCTGCCTTGCTGTCATGTCTCCCTCTTCTCTCTACAAGTTCCTCCTTAGTTTCAAAACCACATGTCATCCAGCCTCTCACCAGGCCCCTACCTGGGTGCCCCTGCTTGGTCATCAAGAATGCTGGTCCCTCTTTCTTTGAAGGGGCCAGCCACCCTGTGACAGGGCCATATAAGTACCTAAGATATATAGATGCTTCTGGAGTGTCATATTATGGATTAGGGGCTACTTAATGTCTAGAGAGAAAACAATACTATTAGCACTGGATTCCCTTTTTCTCAGCCAAGCACTCTTCATATTCTAGGCTGGATTATTCCTTGATGCCTTTAGAGAGACAGCTATGTTAACTACTGTTTCTCCATTAAATCTCGCCCTGATAGATGTTGGTATCCAGCTGCAATACCTACAGAACGCCACAGATTAATTCTCTGAGTGCGTTAATGATTTGCTTATTCAGCAATTGTTGTAACAACAAACCATTCTGGATTCTTAGGAAGAAAGACTTTCTACTGAATAACAATACTGGTGAAATGAAACATCAGACTGATTTTTATGGGGTGCTGCTAAGGCCCTATTGTGTGGGAAGTTATTTTAAATTGCCTCTTAAGGGAAAAAATGCTTAGATTGTAGAATTGGAAAGGAGACTGAGATCTTCACAGTTAAACCATATGTGCTCTGGTGTTAGTAAAACATTATTGATATTGACTAATCTAAGTGAGACACTCAATATGATCCAAAATGAAAGAACACTATCACTTCAAACTCTGTAAGAGCAAATTTTTTATTCTCTGGCAGTAAAATGGATGCTGTTGGCTAAGTAGCCCTGTACACATGTATAAAGAAAAATCACTGAAATTAAAGCAGAGGACAAAGTTTACAAGGATTTAGGGGGAATTAAACACTGCATTTTACAATTTCTCTACATTGTATTCATCTGACATAATAAGTACTAAAATGGTATCTCTGCTTTTCTATCCAATGTTAGTCTAATCTACCTAGAACTCCCGCTATTTGCCCCAAATGAACTCTTCTCTGCATTCCTCTCCATTCATCTAACAAAGGCTATCTCTTTTTCTTTTCTCTTAATCTAGCCACAGCTCCTCTACCTTGGAAAAGAGAGAGGACAGCCTTGGAGAGGTGTTCTAGTTGTGAATGAACTCTTTAAGAGACAGGATTTTTTTTTTAAACTGAGATCAATATAGCAACAATGAAACCCCATTAAATTTTTGCGTCTGCCTGGCGTAACAGGAACCAAGTAAGCTGAAGATTAAAAAGAGTGTAAAAGGGGAAATAATTACTTTTAAATGTAAATTTCCATAAAATGGGTGTCACAGCTAGAGATGGGTGAAACTTTTCAACTGAAACTTTATCTTTGGCAAAAAAAATGAATATTCAGTGACACCAAAACTTTTGGTGAATTTGCGTCAATTTTGCTGAATTGTTTTCATTGGGAAAAAAAGTTAAAAAATGGTTTCTGAAAACTGAAACATTCTGAGGTCTCCAATTGAAAAAACTTTTTGTTTCAAAATTTACTTTAAACGCGATTTAAAAAATTAAATGTTGAAGTGCTCAGCCAAAACATTTTGTTAGAACCAAAAATGAAACAAATTTTTCAGTTCGACCCAAATAATTGTTTTTTCAATTTTTTGGAATTGCCGGCAAACCGAGAAATCCATTATTCACACAGCTCTAGCCGCAGCTTTTCCTTGGGGGAGGGGGGTGAGAAGGAAAGGCATGTGACCTGATTTTGTTCACCTGCATGTTTTCCGTCTCCAAGTCTCAGGTCAAATGGATTCTCTGAAAGAGACACATACCTTTTACATACCATAAATGGAGGGGAGGGGGAAATGAAGCCACCACAACTTTCCCCTCCCACCTTTTTTAGCTTATTTTGGTCAAAGTCATGTTATAAATAGCTCCTTTCTCCAAGCTCCTGCAAAATGCTTTGAAAAAAATCTTCTTTGGGGCTGGTTTGAATGCTGAGTTAGTGACGTTGGTTTCTCTGCTTTTTTCATTTGCAGTAGTGAAAGTTTACCTTCTCTCTAATTTTTAAAAACTGAGTTTTCAGTCTTTTCAACCCCTTCCACAAATGAATGATTCAGATTGCCTTCCTCATTCTCTTCTTTTTCGTCTTGAAACATTGCTCTGGGTACCAGTGTCTCTCTTTGACTGTCCTTTGATTTTGAAAATGGGTTTCTCTTGTGCTGAGAACTTCCTGGGGTTTGCCGCTGTAAGAGCAAGTGATACAGTTATGTGGTACTAAAGGTAAAGGTTTAAATTATCAGAGAGGGAAAAGCAATGCGGGAAAACACTAGCAAAAGGATCAACTGAATAAAACTCCTAGAAGCCAGTATCAGAAATTAGAACTAACACATTAAAAAGGCAATGGGTATATACGAGACAGATTAACGAACAAATCAGTAGGCTGGTGGTGCTTAAAAGACGTGAAAGATTTATAACTGCATGACTGGATGCCACTAGTGAGATTATTCTCCTTCACATCCATGTGATCAAAAGGGCAGAACAGACAGTTTTGGGGGAAAGCATCTGTGTGATGCTGCATTTTGAAGAATCTAATCTCTGCACTGATTCAACCCATCCCTTCCCTCTATCGCCGGTACCTTTTCCCAGCTCATTCCCTTTTTAAAGTTAAATATTGGGGAGGATCTTACTTCAAGTGTCAGATAATTCTATCAGGAATCGCTGCTTCTCAAACAACTGATTTCCTGGCTACTGATTCATAGATTCCAAGGCCAGAAGGAAACACTGTGATCAGCTAATCTCACCTCCTGTATAACACAGGCCATAGAATTCCCCCAAAGTTATTACTAGATCATATATTTTAGAAAAACATCTCATCATGAATTGAAAATTGCCACTGAAGAAGTTTCTATCACATCCCTTGGTAAATTGTTCCATTGGTTAATTATCCTTTCTGTTAAAAATGCACATCTTATTTCCAGCCAGAATTTGTCTAGCTTCAACTTTCAGCCATTGGATCTTGTTACAACTTTCTCTGCTACACTGAAAAGTGCATTATCAAATATTTGTTCCCCATGTAGGGACTTGGATTGTGATCGAGTGACCCTTTACCTTTCTCTTTGTTAAACTAAATAGATTGAATTCCTTAAATTTATCTCTATAGTCCATGTTTTCCAATCCTTTAATCATTCTTGTGGCTCTTCTCTGAATCCTCACTAATTTTTCAACATCTTTCTTCAATTGTGGGCACCCAGAACTGGACATACTATTCCAGCAGGGGTCGCATCAGTGCTAAATACAGAGGTGATATAACCTCCCTCCTCCTACTCAACATAGGAGCAACATGGGCCAATGAACTAGGAGTTGTGAGACTGGGCCTCTATCACCAGCACTGCCACTTACTCACTCTGAGACCATGAGCAAGTCAATTCAATGCACTCTACCTCAATTTTCCATACTTTCAAAGAGGGATAATAATGTGCCCCCCTCCCCCCCCGGCAGCATACAGGGAGCAGAAATGGCCCCCTGAGAATAATCCTAACAGGTTTCCATGAGAGGACAGGCCAGGGTGGAAGGAAACGTAACTAGAGCTCACCATACTACATCTAGTCACTGACTTCCAGGATAGACTCCATGTTTCCCAAAATGTAGGAAATGAAAAAGTGATCTGAAGCCACCTTCTCCCACTCTCTATTTCTGACACAAATACAGAATCAGAGTAACTGAGAATGGGGCTTCATCCCGTCTCTGCCACTCTCTCTCCCTGCACCTCTGCCCCTTCCTTGCACATATTTTCCTGAAACTCCCCCCCCCCTCAATTATTCTTCTTTTATAGTAAATTGAGACAGCCCATGATTCTGGGGTTGCAGGAACGGAATTTCCAGGAGACGATGTACTAGATACTGCTATGGGAGGCAACAAGACTCACTGGCCACTGCACTAGAATAGGAATCATCAGATCAGGCTTCAACTGCCAGCAAAGCCACCACCTTGCCAGCTGACTCTGATCAAGGCATTTAACGTCCCTCTGTCTCAGTAGTCCCAAGTGTAAAATGGAGGCAATGTTTACTCACCTATATGTAGCACTTTGAGAGCTATGGGTGAGAAGCACTAGGTAAGTGGTAAATGATTATTAAGGCAGGTTCTGGGACTACGCAGGTGATAAAAGCAGTGCTTCAGTTGTGCCAGGGCTGAGCCCCGGCACCTCATGGCTTGTCAGTTCAGAGCCTCGGCACCTGTGGGTTTGCCGCATCAGTTATGAAAGAAATTTGCTTGAGCTTTGGCACCTCTTTCATTGCAAATTAAGCACTGGATAGAAGTGAAGAGCAAAGCCAAACCAGAACCACTTTATGGTTTTGTGCTGTACCATCCCTTTATGACCTGGTCCAGGGATTGGCAACCTTTGGCACACAGCTTGCCAGGGTAAGCCCCCTGGCGGGCTGGGCCGGTTTGTTTACCTGCCATGTCTGCAGGTTCGGCCGATCGTGGCTCCCACTGGCTGTAGTTTGCCGCTCCAGGCCAATGGGGACGGAGGGAAGCGGCGCAGGCCGAGGGATGTGCTGGCTGCCGCTTCCCGCAGCCCTCATTGGCCTGCAGCGGCAAACCGCGGCCAGTGGGAGCCGCGATCGGCCGAACCTGCGGATGCGGCAGATAAACAAACTGGCCCGGCCCACCAGGGTGCTTACCCTGGCGAGTCACCCGCCAAAGGTTGCCGATCCCTGACCTGGTCTGAACTTCCATTGTCTTTAAAAGAAAGGCTTCCATTCCTGTTCATTTTCGCATTGAAATCACATCACTATCCTGCCTTCCCTCTTCCATATTGTTGCTGGAGGTGCTCAGTGAGTTCTTTGGGAGGCCTGAATGCTGATGTCACTTGAGGCGTCAGCATGAGCTTTGATTCTCCCTCTCCTCAGCTGAGCTGGAGAGGGCTGATTCTTAAGGAAGCACAGAGGAATTGGAGGGAGAGCTGAGCATCAGATTAGAGCTTCTTGAAGCACCAATATTGAGATCCTCCAAATATCTTGCTAGAGTCCTGCACAAGAGATGGGAAGTGAGGGCTTGACATTCTCTAAAGCAGGGGTCGGCAACCTATGGCATGTGTGCCAAAGGCGGCACGCAAGCCAATTTTTAATGGCACGCTGCTGCCTGCCGGGGTCCCGGCAGGCAGCAGCGTGCCATTAAAAAATCCTGCCCAGCCTGGCCCGGCCCACTCTTCTCCACCCTCCGCGCCTCCCCCCCCCGCCACCTCCCACAGGGGCAGGGGGCAGAAGCTTGGTCCTGCTGGCTACCCTGCCTCTTCCCACAGTGTGCTGGGTTCCTGCCCCTCCTCCTCTTCTCCATCCCTCCCTCCCTGCTGGCAATCAGCTGATGGCCATTGCGAGGGAGGGAGTAGAGCGGAGTCAGCGTGCTCGCTGCTCCCAGTGGAGGCAGAGAAGAAGCCGGGGCAGGGCCTTGGGGAAGGGGGCGGGTTAATAGGGGCATATCCCCTCTAGCCCGTGAGCACCCCGTGACCCCAGCCCACACCCCCAGCCCTCTGCCCTGACCCCTGCAACACACAGCCCTCTGCCCTGAGCCCTGCAGCCCTGCACACACCCCAGGCCCCTGCCCTGAGCCCTGTACTCCCCTCACACACACCCAGCCCTCTGCTTGACTCCTTCATCCCCCCAACACACACACACACCGACCC